TTTCCAGGATAATGACGAGCCCAGTGTTACTCTACAGATCGGACTGGGTGGAGGGTGACAACAGAGAGACCCAGGAAATCAAGATCTGATTAGAAAAGGCACAGGCCATGCCACCGTTGCCCACCATCACCAGAGAATGAGCTAGAGGCTTAAATTACACAGCTCCACATTGGAAATCCAACTCCACCTTTTGGTTCCTGGATCTCTCTGACTCCCATAGTCTCATCTGTAAAACAAAGTGTTGTTTTAAAAATCTACTTTATAGAGTTGCTTTAAGGACAAGTGCTAAGAATGAGGCCAGGTACATTTTATATCCAATAAATCTTAATGGTAGATTTTTTTCTATGATGATTATTGCTAAGCCCCTCCATATTTTAAGCCATAACATAACTGTAACATTTTATTTTGGTTTGGATTTTGTTTGCTTGCTTGCTTGCTTTTGAGACAGTCTCTCTATGTGGCCTTAAACTCACGATTCTCACCTGTCACAATCTGCTAAGTGTTGAGACTACAAGGATGTACGGACACACAGCTTCTAGCTTAGTCTCTTAACTTCAAAACTTATGATGCCAACTTGTTCCCAAGAAACTTTTTCAAAGTTGATTCCATAATCCCTTAACATGTCAGACATTGTATGTGCATGCCAGGCACTGACAGCTACACCCTTCTCACCAGGACAGTGTGGAAATGTCTGAAGTTTTGAGCCCCCACAGCAGGAGAGGCACAGAGAGCAGGATTCCTGTTGCTCAATGGCCACCCAGCCTAGCCTACTTGGTGAGCTCCAGGTTCAGAGACAGAAAACAAACAAAGGTAGATAGTGTTTCAAGAACGACACCTGAGGTTGACTTCTGGCATCTACATGCATGTACACACATGTGCACATGCACCCACACACATTCGCTCTGCATTTGTGTTCATACACACAGACATTTTGATGGATTAGTACAACTTCTGTCCCCTAAATTTCCTGGTGGTAATCACACTATCAGTCTCTATCTCACAAGGAACAGCCTTAAAGGCATTTGGAGATTGGAACCAGGCTTCTACTGACCTCCAAGTCAGCCTGTCACCTGAGTCTTCATTGGTAGCTTGAGGGCATTACACACAGCAATCACATACTTCCATCTCTGCTAAAAACAGCCTTCCACCCACCACCCCATTTTACTCTTCTTCAAGGCTTATAACAAACCCCATCTCCTCTCTGAAACCAATTTCTCCTCTCACTTGAAGTTCAAGTAGCAAGTTTTGTGAACTTCCCAGTGCCTGGCTGATGTTTCTGTTGCCAGGCCTCAGAACCATACAGATGTGGCTAGTGTTCTGTCTATACTTTCATGTCACTACAGCCCTTGCAGAATCTTCACATGTCTTATTCACAAGTCAGGGAAGGAAGCTGTGAGAGTTCTTTGCCTCACCAATGAGCCACATGTAGGAAGGGGCACAGCCACATTTGAACCCTTCCCAGTGCTTTCCCTCAGGCATGCTTCCTCTCTCAGGTGCCTCAACATCCAACTGGTTACATCCATATCCATCTAGGTTTGTTCCTCCCGCAGGAGTCCAGAAAATCCTTCTGTTTTAGGAATCAAGAAGCATTCACCTTTATCCATTTTAACAAGTTTCTCAAGGGAATTGAAGTTGACAGATCAGGAAGAGCGCTGGAAAGTTAGCTAAGCAGTAAAGAGCGCTTGATGCTCTTGTGGAGGACCCGAGTTCAGTTCCCAGGACCCAACTCACAACCTTCTACGACTCCAGTTCCAGAAGATCCGATGCCTTCTTCTGTCCTCTGTGGACATGCAAGTGGTGCACATGCATGCAAGCAAAATAGTTATACTCCTAAATCAATAGTACGTAAGTCCTCTTGGAAGACAACACATATAAGGCCCTCACGGAGCTGGCACTGGTTGGTGAGTTTGGCTACAGTGCCCGGTGCTAAGAAAAAAGCCTTACACAGAAGTCCTGGTGGGGGCTCATTTCTGAAGAGCAAATGGATTGGGTCAGGAGCTCCCAGAGACATAAGCACTCCTCTAGCTCAGCACTCCCCGCCACATGAGCAGTCTGTCCACAGGAGCAGGAGGAGCGAGCCTGGGCTTCCAGAATGAGGCTGGCTACTCCACCAGCCCCTCCTCAGTTCACAACCTCCACAGCTCTGGACTGCCAGGCTGCTGTCTTCCAGACTTCCCCCATCAGAGAAGTCGACCCACAGGTTCCAGGGCAGGAAAAGTGAATCAGAAAAACCAGTGGGGATCCAGTGAGTGAAACAGCATCTGAGATGCAGGGTTGCAAACACAGGGAGGTCTTTCATTGCCACCACTTGAATGGTGCTTCCAATTCATTTACTTATTTGCTTTGTCATATGTCCCTAGTGAGAGATTAGCTCTTCCACCCTATGCATTTGGGTCCTATGGGCCTGACCCATAGAAGGTACACAGAAGTCATGCACTAGGTATTGGCTGGGTGACTGCAAAAACATGCTTATACGTACATCTCTATATGTGTACATACATATATGATAGTTTTCCAGGTTCATCAACAAGTTTGTGTCTATCTCCTCACATAAATACGCATTGTCAGTATGTGCACACATCTTTGTATCTGTGAAGATGTTTAAGACTAGACTAACAAAGGTATGTGTTTCCAAAAATGAGGCTCTGCAGCGCCACCGAGACCCCTGGCTCACCTGTCTATCACAAACACATACTCCCGTCCACGGACTAGTCAGGCAGATGTCTAAAAAGTGAGGAATTTTATAAATGTTCGAGACAAAAACGTGTTTTAGCTTAACAAAAATAAAATTTCTCAAGTCTTTCCAAACTTTCTGTCTGTCTATTAATTTAATCAATGTGAGCAAGGAGGGAAGCATGGACAAATATGTCTATAAATGTGACAGGCGACATGATGGGAACTCCTCCAGGCAGGCCAGAAGTGTCCCCGAACATGGTAACATATGCAGGAGGTTAGAGTGTATGATAACCACAGATGGATCATTTTCTGGATACACAAGGTACCAGACACCGGGTAATCCTCTTTTCAATTTAAACCACAGCACAACCCTGGGAAGGAGATAGTATTGTCTGCATTTTGTAAATAAGAAAGCCAAGATTCCAAGAGTTAAGTAATTTGCTGAAGAGACTGTGCTCTGGGGCTGGCTACGACATAGGCATTGTGCAAATTCTGGACTCTATTTGAAGTTTAAGTTGTTTTCAATGAAGTAAGTGCTTCTTGCACACTTTTACAGACACTGACTTTGAGAGATGTGTGCATAGGCACATTTGATGGTATATAGGCATAAGTAAGTCATTCTCTGAACACAGAAAGCAAGTCAAAGGATGAAGACCACCCCAAGTTAAAGACAGTAATGAGAAAGCGCATCTCAGAAACCATTTGCCTGTGTTCATCACACTACGAAAGCTTTTGCACTTGGCCGAGTCCTCTCAAAGAAATTTTCTATTTTCTAACAAGGCATGTGTGTGTGTGTATGTATATGTATGTTCATGCGTGTGTGTATGTGTGTGTGTGTTTTCTAACAAGGCAATATATATATTTACCAGGTTCTTTCAAGCCAATGGAAATTTCTTAATTCATTTCTGTCCTTTTCTCGAACAGAAAAGAGTCTTCAGTCAGTAAGGAGCCACTGGGTAGTATGTATCCCACCTGCCTTAGAGCCCAGAGTAAATCATCTTTGTGTACTTTGAAGGGAAGTGGAATTATTTTAAAAACAACTGAGGACAGAGTGAAGAAGGGGGAGAAAAAAAAGCTCTTCCCTCTAAATCTGAAAGGAAATGTCAGCTGCCTTCATCGAGATTCTGGAAGGACCATTCAACCTCTGCCTTCCCAGAAGTTGGCCTAAGGAGGGAAGTTATATATTTTTAAAGATTTTACTTTAGCTCATAACATCAGTGGGAAAGGTTTCCATTGGCTCCTGCCTGTCTGTCACCTCCTCCCTCAGACCACTATCACAAGGGTCCAGCAAGGCAACAACATCTTGGCACCAGGGGCTGAGGTGAGAAGACACTGCCCTGCGTGGTCATTCAGTGGGTTTGGTTGGTCAGTCAGTTCCCCCACCAGTTCCACCAAGGTGCCCGAAAAGTGCAAAGGGATTTTTATCAGCGCTGGCTCGGGTGTAGCTACCCAACCCTGCAGGAACCTGTCTTCTGCTCCCTAAAGTAACACCTCCCCCAAGAGGAGGAACTACCAGCTCTGTGTGGTCCCTACTTCAAACCTGGCCTTGGGTTTTGTTTGTTTTCCGATTTCAAGCCTTTCCCTCATATGCATCTCTCAGAAACATTCCTGAGTCTAAACTAAGGGAAAAACGAAGCCAGGAGCTTTGGAACGCGAGAGCAGTAAAGATTTTACGCCTGCATTTGTCCTAGATGATGAATGACCTTGGGCTAGTAACTTGCTCTACCAAAAAAAAAAAAAAAAAAAAAAAACTGGTCAGAAGAGAAAAATATGTCATCAAAAAGTTCTTGAAATTTCAACACAAAAATCACGCAGTCCCAGCGCTTAGCAGGTTCTGTGCTCCGGACTCGCTATGGGCACACTGCACAAAGCCACAGAGGTGGGGGCACAAAGACGTGGAATTCAGGGGGTTCTGACCCGAGGCTTGCCTATCATTCCTGCATGTTCGATTTACATTACCATTTGCCCCCAGACGCCTCTGAACCTGCTTCTAGCTTACTTCTTAGCACCAAACATCTGCAGAGTCCAAGAAATAAATTCTCTGAAAGTAGCAGAGATTAAGTTGTCCTGGGTCTCCCTTCTCACCAGAGCTGGGCCAATTGCAATAGAAGGCAGACTCGGGGATGATAACACAACACGTCTTTGCTTACGCAAAGGTGCCTGATACATCTCTTGGTGTAAGGGATGGGACAGAGACCCTGACTTCAGTCTCTAGGTTGGGCATGGCACAGAGGGAGCAGGACATGGAAGCCTCACAGACGACCCTGTCCTCTGCACCCTAGCAGGAAGGGATGCTGGAGGGAGCAGCGGCCAGCAGTAGGTACCTGAAGAGCCTGGCAGCGGTCTGGTTCCTCCTCCAAGCCATGCGCTGTGCCAGCACCCCTTGTACGATCTCCTTCTCGTTGGGTAGCCGGTAGACAGGGAAGATGTAGAGCCAACAGAGGACCACTACACAGAGGGCACTGGCTCCCACGGGCAGCCGGGTACGCGGGAACTTCCATGCCAGCATGGCCATGGCCCCTCTGGACGTGTGTCGCCGGGCCCGCCCGCAGGGGCTCATCACAGTCTCGGCATCCAGGGTCGGTCGTGGGAGCCTCAGCACAATGCCAGGCGAAGTGGCAGGAGTGGGTGCCTCCACGGCCGGCCCCCCATGCACACACACCTTTGGCTTTCTTGCATGCACACGCAGGGCTGGGGGACCCCCACCACGGCCCCAGAGGTCAGCTACAAGGATCTTCGCCAATGCAACTTTTCCCACGGATTTCTTGCTAGAGGAAGTGGCCTCCGGGCAAGTCACGAGCCATGGTCCCTTTCCCTGCAGAGGTAGGCGACGGAGGGGTTTGGGCGAGAGCAGTGGGGCCAGCTGCTGCCGCCCTTACTACAGCATCACAGCCGCCCTCGGCTGGGGTCGTGGAAGAGGTGCGGCTGGCTCCGGGACATCTGACCCGCTGTGTCCCTTCCAGATAAAGATGCTCCTGCGCCCTGCACCGCCCTTTCCCCCGCCTCCTGCGCCGCCGCGGTGCCCGGCACCCCCCAAGACGTGCTCTCCCAGCCGCGCCAAGTCCTTGGAAATTTCCACGGCGGCCCGGGACCGCTAGCCCGCCCCCGGCGCCTCTGCCGTGCCCGCCGGGACCCTCGCTCCGCTCCCCTCAGGGGCAAGCTGAGAACTCGCTCTCATCAGTTCATTCAGCGGCGCGCCGCAGCCTTCCGCTGCGCCCTGGACTCCGCAGACACGCGCCCCGGGATTGGTGGAAATCAAGGTCTCCTCCACCCTCCCCCACCCGCGAAATTGCCTCCTTCGACCCGCTTGGGGCCGCAACACTAGCCCAGGGCGCAGGCCCCTCGCCGCTGCCCTTGTTCTCTGCGGAGAAAGGCAGACAATAAGAACAACGGCCCCTCTGGTGCATGCATGCACACGCACATTTATCTGTCCCTGAGTGTGCACAGACTGGGGGCCCGCACCCTGTGCGCCCGGGCTGCTGTCACCCTCGCCTTTCTGCAACTGATTGGTTATAAACGAGCAGCGAGGAGGTTGGAGATGATTTATTCCTTCCTGAGCTCCCTTAACCAGATCAGCCCGTCCGCGAGCTGATTCCATGCACGCACGCGCATAAACACACACACACACACACACACACACACACACACACACACACACACTGATGCTGGTGGGCACGAGGGGAGGTGCATGCACACCGGGGTCCGCCACCTCGTGTCCACCCTGCAGAGAGCAGAGCTGCGTCCACATATGTATGGTTGGTGTCCCAACCAGCAGACCTTGGGGGAGATAGCGCCTCCTCTGACACTATAAATAAAAAAAAAAAAAAAATTGTTTATTCTTAAAGGGCTGCGATGGCAAGCTTATCACAACTGCGACCTTGGAAAAGTGCCACCCGCCTGGACCCGCCTAGTGGAGGGACTCACTGTAAGCCATTTCTGCTTGCCCAGGCAGAAGACAGAAAAGCTCGGGTACCTCCTAGCGGCTGCCTATTCTATTTGCTTAAGCATCCTGTACAAGGACAAAGAAGAAAGTCTGCATCCTCCAAAACCAGCCAGCTTAGTCATCACCCAGCCAAAATCTCAGACCACAGTTCCATTTGTTCAGCCATGAGCGGCACTCTAGACGGTCCATACTGACTAGTGTGCGCCCTGCAGCCTTTTTCTAGCACCTTCCAGCACAGAGAAGTGAAACTTGAGATGTTGGGGGCAGTTACTTACCAAACACGGATGGCTGTTATTCTACCAACATCATTATGCTTTTCTTAGGAGGACCACTCAATGCCCCCATGGGCCGGCAGCCCCCATAGTGGAACATTAGTTAAAATAAAGATTACCCTTGCTGCTGGAGAGAGGCTTGCTGATCTTGTGGAGGACCTGTGTCAGTTCCCAACACTTGGTGCAGGCAGCTCACAGCGTTAAATCCAGTTCTGGGAGATTTTTCACACTCTGGGGCACCTGTATACATACACATACCTCCACATAGTTACAGACACATAATTTAAAAATAAAATAAATCTTAAAATAAAATGGAGATTCCCTCCCACCCCAAACCTACTCTATTCTAGAAAGGAAGACAGGATGGAGACCTGTTTCCCACCTTTCAAGGGCTATAGACACATCATCTACCACTTCCCCCTCCCCTATAATTTAAACAAAGCCCAAATGATCCCAATTTCTCTTCCTCCAGCTCTCCACACAGCTGAAGAGTACATGAAATACCAACCAGCAAAGGGTCATTGGGGCGACCTGAGGCCCCGGACTGTATCGCATTTAGTACTGCATTGCATGTGAACCCACTGTGCCGCTGACATCTCACTCCTTGCTCCCTCTTTTCCTACCCGTGGTCCAGTTTTCTCTGATCTTACTCCCTGGTTCTCAGTAGCATTAACAATGGCTTCAATGGTGTTTCCTTTACTTCTCCGAGTCTTCAGTGTGTCGTGTCTGGCAGCCTGTAGTGACCACAGACGTGAGTCTGTTTTGCTCCCTCCATACAAATCTACTGACTACAAATCTAAAGTCAAGTGGCCATTAAATTTTCCCTCAACGACATGCTGGTCCCAGACCACCTAAAACACCAGCTTTTAAACCACAAGATGGTTCAGTGGGTGAAAGTCTTTGCATCCAAGCCCAAAGACTGGAGTTCTGTCCCTAGAGCCCATCATAGATGGAGAGAGTTGATGGCTGACATGTGCCCTCTGACCTCCATATTCATGCAAAGGCAGGCTCACACTCATGTGTTCATCAGACACACATACAAAATAACAACAACAAAATGAAATAAAAATAAAGCAGAATTTGTAGTATGCATGCTCAATAAGTATTTGTGATTCCTGTTCCCATTTCCTTTGACCTGCTCTGGATACATCTAGAATTTTCTAATCATTCTGGTTAATGATTAGGCTCTCGGGTGAGTTTTTCTGTTGTAAGCATTTTCCACACAGAATTCTTCCTTGGCCACTGGGTAGTAAGGCAGTTTGGCCTGCATTTGAACTCCCCAAGCTGTGTTTACATGACTAGGGGAGATTAGGTATGATAGTTTTTATTCTTCATGTTTGCCCAACTGCCAGTTCAAGCCTAATCCCATGCCAATGCAAGAAACAACTGCTTTAGGTTCTATAAAATGTACGGCCTCTGACTCAGCACCATTTTAAGGCAAAGTGTAAACTCCTGCGTCTTAGTGTTTTAAATTAAATATCTTACCTGACATCCAGGAACTTTATTTAAATGGCTTTCAGCAAGGGGTTTAGAATTCTGTTGTAGTCTACATCTGAGTGCATAAAGAGGACATGCAGGGTTTGCTCAAAGGCTAAAAGGCATTTTAAACTCGATAAATGTTTCTGAGACTGAACCCCAGTCTCAGTGTCAGGCTAGGCTAGCTCAAATCCCATCTGTTACCTATTAGCTACATGTGCTAATCTATTCGTCTAAGCCCTGAGCTGTGCTTCTCATCCCTAAAATAACACTTGTTTCATGAATCTGTATGTTGGTTACCAGGTGACAGAACACCCAACTCAAGCCACTTAGAAGAGGAAGGACTGATGCTGGCTTGTGGACACAGCGGGTTTAGTCTCCTGGGGCAGGCTCTGTTGTTCCCAGGCCAGGTAAGGTGGAACATGGTGGCTGCTCCCAGAGACCTACTTCCTTTAAAAATGTCCCACTTCCTGGCTTTCACTTCCTCCCAATAATGCTATTACGAAATCATGAAAAAAATATTAAACCACTAATTAAGTTAGAGCCCTTGTGATCTAATAGCCTGGAAATGTCATCACAGACACACAAAGCGTGCTTCACCAATGCCCTAGGCATTCCTTGATGCAATGAACTTGACAATGAAAACGAACCATTTTATTATGAGCACATAAATGAAAACCTGCAGCAAAGCACGGCCACCATTTTACCTGTGTCCCAGTCCTTGAGTCGTTTGTTCTGTTTTATTGTACATGCAGGTTTATGCGCATGTGTTCACACGTGTGTAGAGAGCCAAGGGCAACCACATTGTAATTCCTCAGGCGACACTCACTGTGTTTGGGAGATACAGCAGCTGTCATAGGCCCAGAACTTGACAACAGGCTCAGAAGGCTCCCAGGGACCCCAAGGGACCTGCATGTCTCCACCTCCCCAGCTTTGATACTACCATAGGGAGCCGCCACACCCACCCTGGCTTGTTTGGTTTAACGTAATGACCTCCACTTTCATTCACATTGCCAAACATGACAGGGTTTCACTCCTTCGATGGCCGAGTAGGACTCTGTTGTATATATGCACCACATTTTCTGCACCCATCAGTTGATGAACATTTGGGAGGTTTCCATTTCTCAACTGCTATGAGTAGCATTGCCGTTATCAAGAGAGTATAGGTTCCCTTTGATATTTAATCACTAACGCTCAGGGAGGAGTCTGATCCCATGGGATTAAAGCACATATTTAATGGGGGAAGTAAAAGAAACATGACAGCCAGCACATGGCCAGTCTGTGCCCAGTTAGGATCTGATGTGGGAAAATGGCCGCCATACAGGCTAGCTCCAGCTGCTGATGGATGACGGGATGGGGTTGGCGGTGAAGGGTGGTGTTAGCCGGTGCTAGTTCACTCACTTGTTAAGCAGGTAGAGGATGACAGGCCTGATGTCCACTGGGGATCCATGGCTGTACACTAACTGGACATGGTACAGTCTGGGGTGACAGGGTTTATTAGATACCAAGAACGAAGCTGCTGCAGGGTAAATATCAGATCAAAACCAAACCTTTCAGGTCTGACAACTTCAGGAGTCAGACCTGACTTGCCACCTCATCTGAGATAGCCTCTTGTCCACCACTGAGTACACCTGACTAGCAGACATTTGAACTTCCGGGATCCTCCTGTCTCCACCTCCCATAGTGCCATGGGAACACTGGGATCACACATGTGTGCCATCATCACCACCATGTTGTGCACTGTGAGGATCCGAACTGAGGTCATTAGGCTTGCATAGCAAGCATTTTACCCTCTAGGGCATCTCCCCAGCCCTTAGGTGAAGAATCTTTAGAAAAACAATCAGAGAAAAAACAGTGGTGACCTGGGACAAGAGATGAGGAATAAAGTAACAAAGGGAGATTTTAGGTCAAAGTATGACTAAGTCCACAGAACTAATACAGCATCAGGACTATAATTAATAGAATAGAATTGTATTAGACATTATTGTGAAATAAGTTGATTTTAACCTATAATTAATAGAATTGTATTGTATTAGAGATTATTGTGAAATAAGTTGATTTTAACCTATAATTAATTGAATTGAATTGTATTGTATTAGAGATTATTGTGAAATAAGTTGATTTTAATGGCTCATCTCCGAAGAAAGCAGCTACACATGATGGTATGTTACTTTGCTACATTATATGACCAATTTACCTTCTGTGTGTATCCCATAACATCATGTTATAAGTCTCAAATATAGATAATAAAATGTATTTAAAGATAATGAAGATTGTGATTAAAACCAGAAATACAGTGGATGTGTGCTAATTTTCAACAGCTTGCTTCACAGCTATGCTCTTTGTCCTGTGGGGGGAAATTAGTGAGTAGTTCCTATAAACTGGCTTGTTTATTGTGGCCCAAATCAATCTGTGAAGGCCCCATCATGGTAGTCATGGGAGAAACCCAACAGACCAAGAGAGTGGCTGCTGACATAGCCTTGGTTAGGTCAACTTTGTCTTTTCTGTCCTAATCTTAGAAGACATTCAGGAAAAGTTTCCTTTTGCATGGGAAGGATGGATACATCACTTTCTCTATAAGGTCGTTGAATTCTACAGTATATTCCAACAATGTGATGAATTAAATTTTTGATTCAATCACAGTCAAATGAAAGTTGAGGGGCTGGAGAGATGGCTCAGTGGTTAAGAGTACTGCTCTTGCAGAGGATCCAAGTTCAAGTCCCAGTCCCATGTCTGGTAGTTCACAACCTCTTATAACTGCAGCTCCAGGAGAATTAGACACCTCTGACCTCTGCAGACAGCTACATTAGTGCACATAGCACATGCACACACAATTAAGAATAAAATAACTACTATAAAATGCAAGTTTATTGTGGTATTGATGAACACAGGAGCCTCCCTCTCAGAGAAGGAAACCCACACAGATTTGAGAACAGCACTGACTGACCCCAAGGAGAGCAGATCCATGCAGCTAACACGCAGTTCACTTAGCTACAAATCTGGTGTGACATTGGTTTCCTTCATCACCTTGATGAATCAAGCAGGAGACCCATGGGCATGGCTGTGAACGTATTTCTGGAGAGGTCTATCCAAGAGGGAAGACCCACCCTGAATGTGTGCAGCACCCTCCGTGGCCTCCTGGACTGAACGAAAAGAAGAAAGCGAACTGAGCCCTAGCCTCATCCCTCTGCTTCTTGGCTGTGGAAGCAGCGTGACCCACCATCTCAAGCTTCTGCCACCGCGCCCTCCCCACCACGATGGACTGTACTCTGGAACTGTGAACCAAAGAAAACACTCTCTTCTGTCAGCTGTTTGTCTGGTGTTCTGTTACATCAACAAGAAAAGTAACTGACACAGATGGTACCCCAACACAGGGACTGACTCTGAAGGTTAGGCAGATCGCGGCACCCCCAAACACAGAGTCTGTTGGCCTAGCACACAGGTGATTTTGGGGGCTTTGTTTCTAGACACTAAAGCCTGGGGCTGAAGTCTTTAGCATGGTCCTTCCTACGCCAATGCTTCCAGAAGACTGGCTGTGATGTCACCTGATGCCAAAAGGTAACACTTTTGAGGGACTCTTAGTAGAACGTAGTGGAGGGTTGCTTCTGATTGTAGATACCATGTAAACACACACACACACACACACACACACACACACACACACACATACACACACGAGCTTCCTTTAGATGTTCTTGTCAGGTAACCATATTGCCTCAATGACCATTGATAAACCACTGATATTTTATTTCTGGAATGTAAAAAAAAAGCATAATTATGGAAAATTTTACAGCTTATTCAAACTCAGCCCAGGTTTCGTAGCTGCCCCAAACACAATTCTTGAGTTTTGCCCAAACCACAAATACACAGCAGCATTTATTGAGCCTGGTGACCAGCAATGGCCTCCCTGTGGTCGCAGAGGAGCCTGAGTCTTGGCAGTGGTGGTTGGTGGGTGGGGATGATTCCCTAGGCCGGGCCCTGCGATAGGAAAAATCTGTTCAGCCAGATAAGACAGCTGGAGGGACTGCTACAGGTTTGACTGAAAGTCTGGAAAGGGACAGCTGTGTGCCAACTGAGGATGCTGGCTGTCCCAGAACTGCGAGAAGACAAGCCAAGCGCTGTGGATGGACCTTGGCACACAGATTACAGATCTAACAGTGTCCATGTGTAAGGGAGGGTTAGGCCACATGGATACATTGTGGGGAAATCATGGTTTAAACCATGGCAGGGGACTGCTGGTGGGTATCTTCTTCATATTGGTTCTATCATGCCCATAAAGACACAAATTAAAAAGATACGTCTATTCTCCAAGGCACAAATTGGTTACGGTGGATTAGTAATCTCACCTTCAGAGGAGTATGCCTTTAGTTCAGACCTGCTAGGTAGAGTTGAGCTCTGAGAAACACTGATATGAATTTCATCTCACAAGGGTGCACTGCCTCAGTTCCTGCCAACAGAACTGAAGGAAGACTCTGGGGCTGTGGTGGTTGATCTGACTGTCAGCTTAACTGGGCCTAGAATCACAGAGACACAAACAGATGCTCAGTACTGATCGTCAACCTGACAAGATCTACAATCACCTAAAAGACAAAGATCTGAGAATGTCTGGGAGGGAGTTTCAAGATTGGGCTGACTGGTGTGGAAGGTGAGTGGCCATATCCTATGGGCTGGTGTGCTGTGGGATGTTCTGTATGGCAAATGTGTTGCTCTGATTGGTCAATAAATAAAATACTGATTGGCCAGTGGCTAGGCAGGAAGTATAGGCGGGACTAACAGAGAGGAGAAAAGAAAGAACAGGAAGGCAGAAGGAGTCACTGCCAGCCGCCACCAGGACAAGAAGAATGTGAAGATGCCGGTAAGCCATGAGCCACGTGGCAAGGTATAGACTTATGGAAATGGGTTAATTTAAGCTATAAGAACAGTTAGCAAGAAGCCTGCCACGGCCATACAGTTTGTAAGCAATATAAGTCTCTGTGTTTACTTGGTTGGGTCTGAGCGGCTGTGGTGGGTGACAAAAATTTGTCCTGACTGTGGGCCAGGCAGGAGAACTCTAGTTACACTGGAGTCCTGGACTAAATAAAAGGAAGGAAATTGCTAAGCACAGGCACTCATCTCGCTCTATCTCCTGACGCAGACGCAACGTGACCAGCTTCCTCATACTTCTCCCACCATGACAGACAGTGTCCTCAAACCATGAGCCACCCCTTTCCTTCCTTACAATGCTTCTCACTGGGCATTTGGCCAGAGAAATGAGAAAAAAGTAACTAATGTGAGGTCTTTAATCCAGTGTTGATATTTTCAAGTATATCATATTGTACAGAATAAAAATTTCACTGGCCAAGCATCTGTTTGGGACCATCAGGTTTTGTGTGTGTATGTGCATGTTCATGTGCATGTATGTACAGACACGTGTGTATGGATGTGTACATAAGTGTAGAGGCCAGAGGTGTCTTTCCCAATTTCTCTCCACCTTTATTTTTTGAGACAGGTCTCTCTCCTACAGCTCACCAGTTTGTTTAGACGGCTGGGCAGCGAGTTCAGGGGTGCTCCTGTGTTTACCTCCGCAGAGGTAGGATTACAGGCACATGCCACTGTACCTAGTGGTTAGGTGGGTGCTCAGAAGTGGACTCAGATCCCACGGTTTAGACTGAAGCGCTTTACTAACTGAGGCATTGCCCCGCCCCCTGCTGAAGTTTTCTATGTATATATTAGTGTTTTAGCCCCAAACACGACAATATGAATGGTTCAGGTTTGTTTTTTTTTTTTTTTTTTTTTTTTCATTTTAATCGCTTTACATTTTATGGGGATGGATGTTTTGGCTGCAGGTGTATCTATGCATCATGTTAGTGCCTGGTGCCCGCAGAAGCCAGGAGAGACTGTCAGATAATCTGAAACAGAATGCAGACAGTTGTGAGCCACCACATAAGTGCTAGGAATCAAACACAGGTCCCCTGAAGAGCAGCTAGCACTCTGAATCATCTCACCAGACCCCGAATGAAGAATTCTTTGAGACAGGTCTCACTACATAGGCAGAACAGCTTTGATCTGTGGTCATCTCGGCTCAGTCTTCTAAGTGCTGGGATTACAAGTGTTCACCCACCACCAAAGCCTGCTCAAGGTCCAGACTTAACACAGCCATGTGATGCCACCGCCAAGATAAGTGCTGGGATTACAAGTGTGTGCCACCACATCCTGCTCAAGCATCCAGACCTAACACAGCCACCTGAAGCCACCACACAGGTGGCTCTGCTTTTTCAGTCTTCTTTTTATTGTTCCAATAAATGGCTTTTCTCTGTCTCCCTTCATTGGTGACTTCAATAAATATTACAGTATATTCTCTTCTATCTCCTCCATTAGAATGTCATTTATGTGACATGAAAATACAAGATTGAAGTACAGAGTCTTAACTAGTCTGTTTACCTTCAAATAACACCGTGTGTTTCTCCATGTGTAGAGTGAGGATCTTATGGTGTAGGGGGAGGTGCTCCTCCCTGGTCCTGTCACCTTGCTAGTATTTAATTCATTTATCTGTATATCAGAATCTTCCTATATGTTGTTAGGATTACTATTACTTTAAATGGTTAACTTTTAGATGAATTTCAGAACCAAGAACTAGAAACTATTTTATCATGCCATCCTAGTTTCTACTTGGCATCATTTCCTTCTCTTGGGAGAATTCCTCTTTTTTCAGAGTCATATTGCTAATAATAAATTACTTCTGGTTCTTCTGGATGCAGACTTTATCCTTTGCTAATTAAGGTTAACTTCACTGGATAAAGAATCCTAGGTTTGAGTCAGCCGTGGTCATGGATGCATATCTTTTATCCCCAGCACTTGGGAGGTAGAGGAAGGTGGATCTCTGAATTCAAGGCTAGCCTGGTTTACAGAGTGAGTTCCAGGATAGAGCTACACAGAGAAAGCTTGTCTCAAAAAACCAAAAAAGAAAAAAAAAACTTTTAAAAAGAATATCAGAGGCTGGAGGATGGTTCAGAGGTTAGAGCACTGGCTGCTCTTCCAGAACATCCAGGTTCAATGCTCAGCACCCAGTGGCCACCTCACAACTGTCTGTAGCTCCTGCTTCAGAGTATCTAACACACTTTTCTGGCCTTCTCAGGCAAAGTACCCATATACATCAAAACAAATAAGTAAACAAGCAGATAAATAAAGATGTGTGATTGGGGAAGGTGGGAAGGGAAAGGGGTCAATGGGAATGGAATGAGAGAGGGGTGAGTATGAAAAACTGTATTATATATACATGAAAATCTACAACAAATAATCTGGTTATTATGTATAATTAACATATGCTAATAAAATATATACAAAGCACATAACTGAGACAGGGGCTAGTTAGTTCTCTAAGTTGGAAGTGGAAAATGGATGATGGAGTTAAAGGGAAGACCAGGGTTAAGGTGCCAGGCCAGTGACGGGAGGCATGCTGTAGCCGGAAGACCCAAGGAACATAAGCGGGGCACTGCTGGCCCTTCTGCTTCTGATGCAGTTAATTGCAAATGATTAAGTAAAGCTTCTAAGCAAGCCCCCGCCTATTTCAGGACAGAGGTCCCACACCATCCTGTAGATAAAGAGTCGGTCAGGAACAGCTGGTAGCCAAGATAAACAAAGAGCATAGTAAGTTACCAGCTCTGGAGACATCTGCTAGGTGGGAGGTGGCTGCACCGGCCAGTGAGTGACATCAACAGCCACACTCAACCACCGACAGCACATCAATCATTAATCAAGACCATGCCCCACAGACTTGCCAGAGCCCAATCTGATAGAGAGATTTTCTCAATCAGCGTTCCCTCTTCACAGACGCCTGAGCCTCGCTGGAGTCAAGTGGACACAGCACTATCCTGTACACACTGTGAGGCACATAAACACAACATGATCCTCACCCTAACTGGGCCAGGGACGCATTCACAGTGTGGAGCTCTTTAACTGGCGACTGATGAAATTATCTGTTTGTCCACGTTCTGCTGAGTCCTGTTACAATGCTCAGACTAAGAAGTGGAATGGTTTTTTCTCTCCTGAAGAAGCGCGCCCCCCCACACACACACACTGTTGGGTGTTTCTTTGGCTTCCCCTCAATTTCTCTAGGTAAAGTTTGCTTCTCGGACTGGAGATATGGCTCAGTGCTTAAGAGCGCTTGCTGTTTTTGCAGAGGACCCTTGTTAAGTCCCAAGCCCTCACATGGTGGCTCATAATCATCCATAACTCCATTTTCAGGGGACCCCATGCCCTCTTCTGGTCTCCATGGGCACCAAGCATGCACATGGTGTACACACATACATACAAGCACACTCACACACATAGAATAATCTAAAAACAAAAAATAAATAATGTGCCCATGAGTGTCCACACCTTCAATATCTCTGGTGTGAGGAAACAAACTTAAAACCACTGTCTGTGGTTGAGTTTTACAAGAGTTTGGTTTCTTAGGTCCCTGAGATAAGCACAGTGGGCTGAGAAAGGTACAGTGCCTTCAAAACCCCAAATCATCAAGGACAACAGTATGGTGATGGTGCTCACCTATAATTCCAGCATTTCGGAGCTGGAAACAGAGGCAGAATTCAAGACCAGCCTCAGTTATATGATTATCTACCTCTAAAAACCAAGAGATAAACCAAAAACAAAAAAAATTAAAAATAGGAGGAAATTTTGATGCACGTTTTCGCAAAATACAAATAAATACAAAAGGGAATTACCACAGGAATGGCTGGATCTCATTGAAATTTATTCTGAGGTTATTTAAAAATTGCAGTGAGCCACCACTAAATATCTACCAGAATTCATTAAGTACTTAATAAAAGCTCAACTAAGAAATTAAAAGCTGTTGACAATACTAAATTCTCACGATCAGACAAAGCACAGAGAGCGCCCATCCATCACTGATAGGAAGACAGCCCGGCACAGCCACTTAGCAAAGCAGCATGGCCTTTCCGATAGATGACTCAGCAATCTCATTGTTGGTTATTTATCCAAAAGAAATAAAAATGCTACTCATACAAAAACCTCTACACAGATATTTGCAGCAGCCTAATATATAATTGCCAAATGTGGAAAGTACCCAAATATTCTTTCACTGGCAAATGACAAATTCTGGAGCATTTATAAAAGGGACATGAGTCAACAATTTAAAGAAGAAAACAGCCATCGATACAAGAACAAGTCTCAAAGTACATTCTAGTAAATGGAAAGAGCCATGTACTCCACAGGCTGCCCCTGTACAATTCCACTACATCACATCGTGGGAAAGGCAGACTCACTGGCACAGGCATCATTTAGCTCCGTGGCGCCCGCACTGGGATTATGCTGGGAATGATGACAAGAAGGTATCATGATAAATCAGTCTGGGCTGTAAGACTGCTCTGCATTTCAATTGTGGTAATGCTAATTATATGACTATGAATAGTTCACAACTCAGAACTACAGCTAAGAAAGTTTTAATTTCACCATATGCAAAATTAAAACCTAATCTTCTTAGATCCTCTCCCCAAGTACTAATCATCCCAAGGATTAGATCCCTCAGCACAGTTCTGTTACTATATGAGGAGAGCTATCAGCAGTCTCCCCATGGGGAGCTTAGTTGTGCATGAGATTAACTCTTTCCATATAGGTCCATAAAGAGAAATGACGAAAAGAGTACAAATTTTGTAGCTGGTAGGGTTTTTTTGTTTTTTTGTTTTTTTTTTGTTTTTTTTTTTTTAAATTGCAGCAATTCTCTCCACAAGGAAGAAATTTAGTAAAATTACTGGGGGCTTAAACATTTGGAGAAAACCACCACAAGGTAATAGAGGGGAAGAAAAATAATTAACCAAGAGGAAGGAGAAAGGGGGCGGAGAAAAAAGGGGCTAGGAAAAGGAAGAATAGGGTACCAAAGAGGAGGAGGAAGAAGAAGAAGAAGAAGAGGACCAGGGGAAGGGGAAGGCAGAGTGAGTAGAGACAGTAGCCTAGAAAGGGAAGATAAAAAACAATCAAATCCTATAAGAAGTGAGGACCATGGGAGAGTTTAGATCTTTGTTATGCAGAATAGATTTCCCAGGGCTGTAGCTCTAAAAACCAAAGCAACCAAGTGCCAAGCGGTACTTCTTAAGAAATTGAATTATTTTTCTCATATAGTGAAACAAATTATGGAGTGTTCTCACTGCAAAAATATTGTCAATTATTTTCCCTTAGTGCTGGAAGTAAAATACCACTGCCTATCTCAGAAAATTAAATTGTCTAAATGTTCTTTTTATAGATGTCTCAGATGGCAAAAATGTTTCCTCTGGAGATATGAACTTGAAAATGACATTGAGCCGGGCGTGGTGGCGCACGCCTTTAATCCCAGCACT